CGGCCGTCCTTGGTCGAGCCTGGGGTCCGCTCCCAGTCAGGACCATCAAACTGTACTGGGAGAGGAAGGTGAGAGGTTGTTAAGTCCCGCCCACCTAGAGGGCAGGACAGGAGCCAGTCAAAGCAGTTTGGGGCTCGCTATCAGAACCCAGGAGGTGGCGGTGGAGTCGAAGGTTAAGACAGGATTGACACAAGAACTGATTGGTTGTTGGAAATAAGGGGGGCGTGGCCACCCGGAAATTACACACTATGGAAGGAGCGGGGCATTGCCTTGACTGACGAATGAGAGCAGAGGGTGTGGTCAACAGGGATGGGTTGGAAGTTTGTAGTCAGCAGGCAGCTTGTGGGTAAGCAGGACTACCCACATGGTGGAAGGCAAGCGCTGCTTCAAGTCACGGTCTTTACGTTGATCCTGTAACCTTTTCACTCTATTTAACTAGGACCTTTCTGGCTCCAAGTCTACCACGTGACAGCTCCTAAAAACCTCACGCTATCTTTCTCCAGCTCCCACACAACTGAGTGTGACTTAGCGTTTCATCTACACCGTCCTGTTGGGTTGGTTCTACAATGACCACAAATCCAGTGTGATGTCACAGCCACGTCTCTTCCCAAGACTACACAGGCTCGGGGTGGGGATAAAAAGGCATTTTCTCTGGGGGAAACTGAGGCAGTGGAGAGAGGAGGGCTTTGAAGGGCCTGGCCTTGCGCACACCTGCGAAGGCCCGGGAGATATGATCTTTCTTCCACTCCCAAGGCTGGTCGTATTCATCCGCTGGCCTCTCATCCTCCAGGGGCAGCCGACTCTGGCCAGAAGTCGCTCCGTCTTCCGGCTCTGCATCTTGCTCCTCATATGGAGTATCGTAAAGCTGGACAGCTCTGCTTGGCCGTTCTGGGTGGAGGAGACACTGGTCACCCTCCCATACCATGCAGGACCATGCCCTTGTACCCGGCCCTGTGCACTCACCACTCGAGCCGGTCTGGGAATCATCCAGAGCTGGCAGCTGAGGCTGGGCGTCAAAAGGATCCTTGTACTCAGCGTCTGCTTCGGGCTGTTGGGAGAGGCTCGGGCTCGCTCTGACGTCCTGTCGTGTTAGACTGTGCTCCTGCCTGCCCCTGCTGGGCCTTTTCACATTTCCCAGAGCTAGGCTGGGCAGGGAGTCCCCAGGATCCTCCTGTGCCTGGCTCCCCAGTGCAGAGGCCACCACATTCAGCTCTTCAAGTGGGTTCTGAGAATTCAAACCCAGTTCCCAGAACCCTCTGGTGTTGTTCTAATACCCTAAACCCTTAGTAAAGAGAGAAGCCTGTTTCATAGGCAAAGAAACAACAGCAGAGGTCAGTGACCTGGGGAGGGTCACACAGCTGGGGAGAACGAGGCAGAGATTAATCCAGTTTGTCCTGTCTCACTGAGTCCCTTCCTCCTCTCAGGTTCCCCTCTTCCAGAGGCTTTGGGGGCAGAAGGATGGCAAGTTTTAGGCCAGCTTGGGCTGCACCTGTCTCAAAACCAAACCAAACCAATGGAGCAGTGGTTCTCAACCTTCCTAATGCTGTGTGACCTTGTAACACAGTTCCTCAAGTTGTGGTTATCCCCCCCAAATAGAATTCTTTTAATTGCTTCTTCATAACTGTAATTTTGCTACTGTTACGAATCGCGGTAACTATCTGTGTTTTTTTTTAATTTAATTTTATTATTTCTTAAGGTTATTTATTTATTTATTATGTATTCAGTGTTCTGCCTGCATGTATGCCTGCAGGCCATTACAGATGGTTGTGAGTCACCATGTGGTTGCTGGGAATTGAACTCAGGGACCTTTGGAAGAGCAGGCAAAGCTCTTAACCACTGAGCCATCTCTCCAGCCCCCTATCTGTGTTTTCTGATGGTCTTAGGTGACCCCTGTGAAAGGGTCGTTGAACCCAAATGGAGTCACCACCAGCGGGCTGAGAAACACTGCCCCAGAACTAAGCAGGGCTGGGGCTCTGTGGGCAGAGAGATCTTGCCCAGCATGCACCAGATCCAGTTTCGATTGTGACACACACACTTAGGAAGTACAGGCGGGAGTCTCAGGTATTCAAGATCATTGCCAGCTAAGTAGTGAGTTTGAGGCTAGTCTGAGCTACCTTGCACGGAGCCTCACACAAAACAAAAACAGCGCCCACCCTTGGTTTTTCCGAATGGAGAAAGGCTCGAGGGGGACTCTGGCTAACCCAGACACTCTTAGACTCCCCGGGGGCGGGGGAGCATGAGGTTGGGACCCTGGGATGATGGGGACAGAGCACCAGTGCCCGTCCGCCACGCACCTCCTCCCCAGGGCTGCCCACGAGGGCCTTGGCTCTGGCCATGTCTACAGCCTCCACTTTGATCAGCCGGTGCCTGGGAGAGTCGTACTTGGAGTCCACCGGCCCTGCGGGCTCCGACTCGGGGCGACCATCGGCGTCCTCGTAGGGATCCTCGAAGTCCAGGTCCTTCTGCTCCCGGTAAGCCCGAAGGATATCGCTCTCTGTGTAGTCGGGAGTGGGCGGCTGCGGCGGAGGCTTCCGGCCGCCAAAGCTCAGATAGTCCCGGAGCCACTTGGCCATGGGTGTCCCCGGAATTGGCTGGTGTCAGACCGGGGCTTCCATGCGAGCTCCTCAGCTCGTCCTGGGGAGCGGGGGTGGGGGGAGGAAAGAGGGGAGACACAAAAGGGGCAGGAAGAAGGGAGAGGAGAGAGAAGGGGAAAGAGAAGGGGGAGGTGGTCAGGAGTCCTAGGCTGGGCTCGGAGCGGAGGGGGCAGCAGGTGGTGACCCCAAGGTTGCAGGAGTCGTGCACTTCGGGTTACAGGCAACACAGTATGGTGTCAGCGTTGTTGTCCCCCAGAGCTCCACGCACAAAGTTGCCAGAGGCTGGACCACCCAGAGGGTCGTACTCCCTGTGGACTGTTGTCCGATCCCAAGGGTTCAGTCGGTCTGATTCCTTAAATCCACATCCATTCCCTTAACCTCCTTATACCTTACCCGCCTCCATCCCTTACCCTTTATTCCTTAATCCCCATTTTTACCCTCCATATCCCTTACTCCCCCATCTCTTAACCTCCAGATCCCTTAAAAACCCCCCCCTACCCCTTAACCTCCGGATCCCTTATCCCCCCCCCCCCATCTCATAACCTCCCTTTTCCTTAACCCTCGGATCCCTTACCCCCTCCCCGTACATCTTAACTGCCGGATCCCTCACCCCCACATCTCTTAACCTCCAGATCCCTTACCGCCTCTATCTCTTAACCTCCCCAATCCCTTTACTCCCGGGTCCTCCCCCCCCTCCCCCCACCCGCTGCAACCTTTTAACCTCCCAATTCCTTAACCGCCTACGGCCGCAGCCACTGCACAAAGGGACATAAACCCCTGGGTCCCGGCCCGGGCTCTCGGGGGGCCGAGGGAGGGGCGAGGACACCCGCGTCCCACCGGGTCCCGCCCCCGCCCCGCGACAGACCTACAGACCTCAGACCTTCAGCCGCTCCGGGGCGGACACGGCCCCAGAGGACGAGGACACCGGCGCGGGGACCGAGTCGCCCTTGGGACCGGGACCGGGAGGGGATTGGGCGAGAGACCTGAGCATCGCGCAGGGTCGCGGCTGGCTGTGGCGCGGGGCGGGAGGCGCCGTCCGTCACCGCCGCGTCCGTCGCTTTGTGGCGGGCGAGGGGGAGGGGCAGGAGGCGGCCGCAGCTGCGGGTCCGCGAGGGGAGGGACGGGAGCGGGTTGGGACCCCAAGGGTTGGAGAGGGAGCTGGGAAGTGGGACCCTAAGGAGGGGAATTGCAGGGCAGGAGTCAGCCAGAGTCAACCCAGCCATGGCCACCAGTCTATGTTCCTTAGGCTCCCCAAATGGTAAACGGTGCAGAAAGCATTGACAGAAGAGTTACTGCTGAGGGGCTCATGTTGCCCAAGCTGTCCTCCAACTCATTTGCAACAAAGGATGACCTGGTCCTCCTTCCTCAGTCTCCCAAGTGCTAGGGATGACACTTGGGGCTTCATGCATGCTAAACAAGCGCCCTACCCACTGAGATGTTCAGGTTGTAGAAAGAGAGGCTATGGGTATGGGGTGTTACTCAGGCCACCCAGCCGTCAGTTTATGTTTGGGCGTCTCGAGGGTGGCACTGGTCCCTCACAGGATGAGCGTTCATCCTCTCATCCGATATGAGCTCTGCTTTCCATTGGGGAAACTGAGGCTTAGAGCCAGCACAGCATCCAGGGTCCGCAGTGTCTCCTGACCACCGGCAGCTCCTATCTCAGCCCCAAAGTCCCCAGAGCGCGGGCAATCGTCCTGTTTGCACGGGCGGCTGCAGCAGCGCATCACACATGAGCTTCGTCCGCCACACGGAGGGCAGTTAACTGCGCCGCCGTGGCAGGAATGGCAATCAGGAGCCCCGAGGCAGAACCAAATGGCGCTTGACTTCCCCTCGCCTCGGAGTCTCCGGAGGGGAGCGGGCGGGTGTGTGGTGGTGGTGGGGGAAACAGAGAACAGACTTGACTTTCTGATGAAGAAATGGGGTCATGGCAGCCATCCTGATACATCCTGCTGGATGACTTGTAAAATGGGCATGGACAGTACCCGAGTGTGTCCCATTGGTCTGACTGTAATTCACATGCCCTACCGCTGCCCCTTTTAGAAGTACAACCCAAGGGGGGTTGGAGAGATGGCTCAGTGGTTAAGAACATTGCCTGCTCTTCCCAAGGTCCTGAGTTCAATTCCCGGCAACCACATGGTGGCTCACAACCATCTGTAATGAGGTCTGATGCCCTCTTCTGGCCAGCAGACATACACACAGATAGGATATTGTATACATAATAAATAAATATTAAAAAAAAAGTACAACCCAAGGGCTAGGAGGTAGCGGCTAATGGGGGGCGCTGGCCCAACACTTGGGGGGGCTTGTCTCACATCAAGCACCTTAAACTCAAAAACAGAAATGAAAATACGACGACGCATGAGTGGGTTGAACAGTGTATCAGAAAAGCCATAGAACCTGCTGTATTCTGGTTCTAGAATATTCCACCCCTATGTCCCTGCCAGTTTCCATGAATCCATCCTGTCTCTGCATCAGCTTGTTCTGGAGTCTCACAGTGGACTTCGCGGTCTGGTCCTCTATTTCCACATGCCAGCAGTTGGTGACATGCGATGGAGCTGTGTGACTGCCCATCATGTGGCAGGCACACAACAGTGCTTGAAGTGGGGCCTCCCCGACTGTACCTCAAATCTGGGAAGAAGTGTGCCAAGGCACGGGACAGAAGGGGAGGTCCACAGTGAGTCTGGTGGCCAATGCCTTTAGTCTACAGAGACCCAAGGAGCCATGAATGTGTTTGTACGGGACCTTGCGGAGGCGGGTCTTGCCTCGTGCAGTCTGACAGCAGATGCAGAACTTGCCCTGAGTAGCCTCCCATCTGGAGGTGCTGTCTGGAGGGGCATGCACACAGCCTGAGGCAGGTGAGGCTCCGCTTTCAGTGGTCCCCAGTCAGGTGAAGTAAAGTGCTTCCCTGGGCCATAGCCTGAGGAAGATGCAAGTCACTGACTCTCAAGGTTCCCAGTCTGGGGGAGGTCCAGCTGCTCCCCAGTGCTCCAGTCTGCTGTAGGAACAATGGTGTCTGGGGCAAAAAGGCCTCACAGATCAGACTGTAGTGTGTCTTAACCCCCTAGCATGCAGTCCATGTGTCCCAGCACAGGGGCCACGTTGGTGAGGGCCACGAGTGGGCTGGTCCAGCTAGTGTCTAAGCTGCAAGGCCAGGTGGTGGGGCCAGCACTATCCTTGTGGCTCCTGTTGCCAGGGACCCCCAGGGAGTTGATGGAGGACATGATGACAGCTGCAGAGCTGGGGAACCCAGGGTGGGGGTGGAGTGGGAGGGTTCCAACCAGACCCCAGGGTGCCACTGATGTGTCTCTGCTCTTGGGGCGGGGGCTGAGGGCATGGGGGTGAGAAGGAAGAACGGCAGGGAAAAGCAGACTCAACACGAACATTTCAGGCTTAAGATCAACTTGGTTCACATCTCTCATCCCAGCCTGGGGAGGTGAAGGCAAGCCTGGGCTACACACGCCTGTCTCTCCACTGCCACCCCATCCAGGCTCACTGTGTTCTAAATGACAGACTCAGGCTCAGCAGTTTTCCTACAGAACACAGACTCATGTACCGCCAAATTCTGAATGACAGACACGGGCTTGGTCCAGGCCCAGGCTGGCTGTGGCCGAAATCCCAGGTGAGTGTTAGTTCTGGTTAGCCGGTCGGGCAGGGTCTCTCGCTGGTCCACATGGTTGTCAATTGATTTTCTTTAACACACAGTATTGTGTTGCAAGTAGAGTCCCAGGCCTTATTGGGAGTCCCCAGGGACCCTGCCACCTATCCCCTGTCAGATAGTGTTCAGATCTGTGGTAGGAAGGGATGGGGCAAACAGGCTCCCTATAACTCAAGGACTGACAGAGTGGGCCAGGCTGTTTGTCCTGGCACACTTGGTACTAAGGGACATTGCCTCTTCACACCCTGCTGGGATCCATGGCAGACACGGTCACGAGGAACTTGCTGAGGGTGCCTTCCTTGATCCCATCTCCTCCTCTGGTTTCTTGGGTCTGTGATGTTGCTGTAGGGGCTCAGCTGTCACTGTCCTCGCTGTCCCCATATGCACCCAGCTGGCTTAGAGAGGAGGCCCCGGGTGTCTGGGGTGCAAGGTTGGCTGTCTTCCTGTTCTTGGGAGCACCTATGAGGAGGACAGATCAGTCCAGTGATGCAGGGCAGGGGAGTGTGCCCAGGTTAGAGGACCTGTCATCCCAATCCTACACTGGGCCAGAGAGCAGTTGAGTGTCCACATGACACAGGGTCAGTGGCCTCCAACACCTGACCTGCTGTGTGGCTTCAGGCAGTGGGTGACCCTCTCTGAGCTTTAGGATCTGGCAGTGACAACTGTGTCAAAGACATGCCAACCCCAAGCAGGGCGCTCTCTATATACGGTGAATTATCCAAACCACAGAAAGGATCTGAAGCTGCAGATTACGAGGGCAGCACTCCGTCTACAGCTACCTGGTGTCCCTTGACACTTAACCAGCCATGTGGAGAATTTAGCTACCATGTGACTTTGATTCCAGGCCTTTGCTCCTTTTATCTTTTTTGTTTGAGACAGGGTTTCTCTGTGTTGCCCTGGGTGTCCTGGAGCTCGCTTTGTAGTGAGGCTGGCCTCAGACTCAGAGCTCTGCCCATCGCTGCTTCCTGAGTATTAGGATTAAAGGCGCGGCCAGCACCACCTTACTCCTTCTTCTTTTTTGAGACGGGGTCTCATATAGCCCAGACTGGCCTTAAATTCGCTATGTAGTTGAGGTTGACCCTGAACCCCTGATCCTCTGCCCATCTGTCCTCGGGTCACTGGCCTCACCTCACCCACCCTATGAAGCTTCTAGACAGTGCCAGGCACACTGCTGCCAGCCAGGGCTGGTGATGGAGACTTACCCATGGCAGGCATCTGGACCTGCTCTGAGCCCCCGTTGGCTTCCGCCTTCATCTTCTTTGGCACCACCAATCCGGCCAGCTGTGCCCTGCTGCCCACTGCTTCTGCCTTCCTCTTGGCCTTTGGTGCCTGTGGGGACCGTGCACATCTGTCGCCCCTGACCTCCCCGACCTGGCTCTCTGGAGCCAGTGTGCACATCGAGTCTGTTGCAGCTCTAAATTCCTCTCTGGCTCCCAAGGTCCAGGGAGGCATCTGAGGACTTCTCACCTGCTGGTCATTCTCATCTTATGAACGCCTACCCACCCCTATGCAAGGTTCACAGTTTTTGACCACTATCCCCTAGTGCCACCAATAACTCCTGGCACATAGTAGGTGCTCAACCTGCAGTCCAAGCTGGCCTTGGCTTCCCCATGTGCTGCCATGACGTGGTGTGTGCCACTGCTCCAGGGCTCTGGGGGTGTGAGGACATGAGGGACCACATGCAGGCAGGCCCATGGTGGCTGAAGCAGGAAGACTGTGGATTTGAGGTCAGGATGGGCTGTGGAGTGTGACCCCGCTTCAAAGAAAAACAAAACAGAACCAGAGCAAGTCTGGATTCCACATGGGAAGAGGGCCCAGTTAGCACGCCTGCCTGAAGAATGAAGACCCGAGTTCAAGTCTCCAGTACCACCAAGAGCTAGGCAGAGCAGCACATGTCTGTAACTGAGACAAGAGAATCCTGGGAGTCAGCGGCCCAGTATACACAGCTGTCACAAAGGGTGAGAGGGAGGCTATCTGTGGACCTAAAAGCTGAGTGTGTGCACTAGCACTCACATCTGGATGCAGCTGCAAGAGGCTAGAAGGCTCTAGAACCTTCAACAGCTAAGGCTGCAGCTGCTGCAAAGTTCAGAATGTTCCCAGGACCTGGATGGGAAGTAGGGACACCCCTTCTTCCTTCAGTGGGCCGAATCTTGGTTCTGTGGGCTTTTTTTTTGTTGTTGTTGTTTTTTTGAGACAGGGTTTCTCTATGGTTTTGGAGCCTGTCCTGGAACTAGCTCTTGTAGACCAGGCTGGTCTCGAACTCACAGAGATCCGCCTGCCTCTGGGTTCTGTGGGCTTTTGTGCTGTTCACTGTGCGCCCACATGTGGGAGCCAGAGGCCGACACCTGTCTTCATCAGTTGATCCCCACCATGGTTTCTGAGGCAGGGTCTCTCAGTGACTTGGCAGATCCCAAGTGGTATAACCTAGGACTTCCTGCCTCCGCCTCCTGGTGCCAGATCCCAGGCCTGAAGGCCTACATCTGGCTTTACATTTTGAAACAGGCTCTTGCTATATAGCCAGGCTAACCTCAGACATGAGAGAGCCACCTGCCTCTGCTCCCAAGTGCTGGGATTAAAAGTGTGTTCACCACGACCGGAGCACCTGGCTTTCAGCATGGTCCTGTGCTGTGGGGCAGGCACTCGACTCTCCCTGCCTTAGTGGACTGTTTCCTCAGGCTCAGCAGCAAGACACAGAGCACTGGAACCACGCTGTGGGCTGTCTGTCCTGTTAGGAACAGCACTGCTGCCCATGGCTTCTCTGTGGCTGCTTAGCCTGGGCACCCACCCCCCACACTCTGGTCCTGCTCACCTCGTCCAGGATGGCTGTGGGGTTGGGTTTTGCTGCTGCCCGTGGTCGGGAAGGCAGAGCTTCGTCTTCTGAGTCGGAATCCTCCAGAAGCCTGCGGTGGCGAGCCTCCTCCAGCAAGGCCCTATAGGATGAACACAGTGAGAACATGCTGCAGGGACTGCCCCCAGGGGTCTCTGCTGCCTCGTCCTGCTCTCAGAGGGTAAGGAATGGGAGCAGGGGTGATGCTAACAATTTTGAGGACAGTGGCCCAGGGCTGAGGGCTTGACTGGCACATGGGAAGCTCGAGGTCCATACCCAGCACTACAAAATAAGTAAGTATATAAAAGCTGGGCGAAGAGGCACACGCCTACCACCCCGGCTCTGGGGAGTGGACTATGGAGGATCAGAAGTTCAAGGCCATCCTTGGCTACTTAGTAATTTTGGGGCCAGTCTGGACTACATAAGACCCTGTCTCAAACAACAAACCTACAGCCATGGGACCGACACAAAAAGCCAGTGATGGTCATGCAACACTGGATCCTGAGGGTCTGAGGGGACTGGGCAGGAGGGGGCTCTGGGCTGAGGGGAGAGAAAGGGCAGTCATAGAAGGATCCAGAAGGGCCTTGGCCGCTCACGCAGTTTCACGCTCATCTTCCTCCTCCTGCTGCTGTCGCCACTGTTCCTGCGACAGGCGGTGCTGCAGCAGCATGGCCTCAAAGTCCACATGTGCCTGCCGCTGGTTCAGGTCCTTCAGCTCCTGCAGGTTTTCTAGCACCTCCATCTCCAGCTTCGAGTCTTTGGTGCGGTTCTCTAGGACCTGGGGGCACACGGGCAGGTGAGGGATTATGAGGAAGGGGGAGGGATGTAATGGGGGGAGGGGTAGAGGAAGGGGAAAGCAGGGAAGGGGTGTAAGAGGGGCAGGGTGGGGCACAGGGTGGAGGCCTGCAGCCTGGACTCACCTTCATGGGGTTGTTCAGCTCCTCATCCTCGCGCTCCTTCTGCACACGCTTTTCCTCCTCCTCCAGGAGCTTCTCGGCCTGGAAGTTGCGTGTGGCACCATGCTCCATGGTGTAGTCTGTGTTCTCAGGGTCTGTCTGTAAGGTGGGGGGAGGGGACAAAATCGCCAATGGCTGCAGGTGGTGCCTGCCTTCCTGTGTGTGTTTCTCCCTCTGCCAGCTTCTTCGCTTACTCCTTTGGTGCGTGTGTCCTTCCCACTAAAGCCCAGACCCTCCGGGATACTCGTGACCATAACACAGATCACCTGACTGCAGGGGTGGGCTTCCATCCCCTCAGGTCCCAGTTACTTTGCCCCCTCCATCTGTGCTCTCTGCACCTTCAGGCCTCCTGGCTGTGCACACATCTGGCTTTATCTTCCTGCTTATGAACTACACGGACAAGCTAATGTGTGCACCCTTCTGGGGGGGTGGATGCAGGGAGCTACGATGTGAATGAGGTTAGCCTGGGCAGTTGAGGACTTCACTCAAAAAACAAGGGTATGACGGGATGGCTCAAGGGTTAGAGCACTGGTTGCTCCTGCAGAGGACCCGGGTTCAGTTCCCAGCATCCACATGGTGGCCCATCATCACCTGTAACCCCAGTCCCAGGGCACCCGATGCCCCTTCTGGCCTTTAAGGTCACCAGGCACATAGACATTCCAGACATAAACATGTGTGAAATAAAAATGTAACTTATTCAAGCTTATTTTGTTCACTTTGATTAAATCTCTTTTTTTTTTTTTTGAACTCACAGGAAAAAGCTTACAGTGAAAAAAAAAAAAAAACCAACACTAACCAAACAAACCCATGGCCTCTAATGGTGTAGACCAGAGAAGAAATTTCCCTTCTTCTGCCTTTGCCTGAATTCCCAGGTTTTTGCTGAGTGCCTGTGAAGCCCTGGCTTCCATTCCAAAAAACAAAGGAAAATCATGATTTTTAGACAGATGTGGCAGCACACGCCTGTCATCCTGGCACCAGAGGTGGAGGCAGGAGGACCACGGTCACTCTGACTACAGGAGACTAAACAAACGAAGTCCAGCACAGTGTGACTCCACAGTCCTCACCTGTGCACCCGACCCCACAGTCCTCACCTGTGCACCTGACCCCACATCCGCAGTGTGACTCCACAGTCCTCACCTGTGCACCTGACCCCACAGCCATCACCTGTGCACCCGACCCCACATCTGCACAGTGTGACTCCACAGTCCTCACCTGTGCACCTGACCCCACAGTCCTCACCTGTGCACCTGACCCCACATCTGCAGTGTGATTCCACAGTCCTCACCTGTGCACCTGACCCTACATCCGCAGTGTGACTCCACAGTTCTCACAGTGTGACTCCACAGTCCTCACCTGTGCACCTGACCCTACATCCGCAGTGTGACTCCACAGTTCTCACAGTGTGACTCCACAGTCCTCACCTGTGCACCTGACCCCACATCTGCAGTGTGACTCCACAGTCCTCACCTGTGCACCTGACCCCACATCCGCAGTGTGACTCCACAGTCCTCACCTGTGCACCTGACCCTACATCCGCAGTGTGACTCCACAGTTCTCACAGTGTGACTCCACAGTCCTCATCTGTGCACCCGACCCCACATCCGCACAGGTGACTCCACAGTCCTCACCTGTGCACCCGACCCCACATCTGCACAGGTGACTCCACAGTCCTCACCTGTGCACCTGACCCCACAGCCATCACCTGTGCACCCGACCCCACATCTGCACAGTGTGACTCCACAGTCCTCACCTGTGCACCTGACCCCACAGTCCTCACCTGTGCACCTGACCCCACATCCGCAGTGTGACTCCACAGTCCTCACCTGTGCACCTGACCCTACATCCGCAGTGTGACTCCACAGTTCTCACAGTGTGACTCCACAGTCCTCATCTGTGCACCCGACCCCACATCCGCACAGGTGACTCCACAGTCCTCACCTGTGCACCCGACCCCACATCTGCACAGGTGACTCCACAGTCCTCACCTGTGCACCTGACCCCACAGCCATCACCTGTGCACCCGACCCCACATCTGCACAGTGTGACTCCACAGTCCTCACCTGTGCACCCGACCCCACATCCGCACACGCAGGCGGGCAGGGTTGTCTGTGTGTGGTCCTGCTGCAAGCACCTTTCATCTGCACCTATGTGGGGAGTCCTCAGAGAAAAAGGTGCACGAGTGAGCCCCTACCTTGAAGGTGATCTCGGCCAAGCAGCGTGTGCACTTGATATAGAAGCGGAAGATAGGCAGGCCCAGGTAGGCCTCGTTCTGGACGGTCTCCTTGCGTGCATTGAACTTCTTCCCCTTGTAGATGTATTCTCCACATGTCTTACACCTGCAGCCAGAGCAGGTGCGTGAGCATCTCTGCACTCTGCTCCAGCACCTGACCGCAGCACATGCACCTCCACGGGCAGGGAGAACTGCAGTGTCTGGGTGTGTGGGGCTTCTGAGACTCTGAACAAAGAGGGAACAGCAGGATTCTGTGCTCTGACCTTCTTTTCTTCCTGCTGTGCTGACAAACACCTCTGGCTTGGTCCTACCAGGGCCTTTGTTGGGCAGATCCCACGGACTGAGATTCTAACAACCCCTGACTGTCCAGCAGGCAGGCCACCTGCCCTGCCTCATGTGTCCTTGTGTGGCTACCAGAGGACGGGCATCATTTCCACTCCCCACTAGCCTGTGAACATCATGAGGCTGGGCACGTCCTGATCAATAGCAGGTGCCTGACAACTGCTTGCTGGAGCCATGTGGTGGTTTGAATGTCTACTATAGAGTCACACATTGGAAGGCTTAGTCACCAGGGAGTGGCACTACTTGGAAGGATTGGAAGGATCAGAAGGATTAGGAGGTGTGGCCTTGTTGGGGGAAGTATGTCACTGGGGTTGGGATGTGAGGTTTCAAAAGTCCATGGCAGGCCCGGTGCTTCTCTCTGCCTGTGGATTAGGATGTGGCTTCCAACTACTTCTCCAGCACATCCTGCCAGGCCTGCCACCAAGCTCCCCACGATGATGGACTAAGCCTCTGAAACTGTGAGTGCCAATTAAACGCTTTCTTTTCTAAGAGTTCATGTGTTTGCTGGGTGGTGCTGGTGGTGGCAGCGCAGGCTTTTAATCCCAGCACTTGGGAGGCAGAGGCAGGAGGATCTCTGTGAGTTTGAGGCCAGCCTGGTTTACAGAGAAAGTTCCAAGACAGGTTTCAAAGCGACACAGAGAAACCCTGTCTCCAAAAATGAAACAAAACAAAAAACCAAAACCACACAAACCAACGAGTCCTCACGTTCAAGGTAACTAGAACAGGCGGAGATGAAGGAGAGAGGATGATCTATGATCAGCCAGCTAACGTGGCAGCCGTTCTGTCCTCAGTGACCGTGAGGGTGTGACTACCGGGAGTATGGGTCTCACAAAAGTCAAGTTTGAACGTTGTTTGACTCCGAGCTGGAAGAACCAGGAAAGCAGGGGAAGGTTGGCAGCCTGTCTGGGATGAGATGGGAAGCAGGCTCTATGAGGAGGACAGGAGCCATTGACATGAGAACTGCAGAGACCATGGCAGCTCAAAGACCCTGGGGCAGGAAGAGGTCACTGGAGGGGCCAGGTGTCACTGACTGTCCAGTGAGGCCTTCTGATGGGGGGGGATGGGGACCCCATGAGGATGTTTGCTGTTTCTCCACAGACTCCAGCCCTGGCTTCACACCCCCGGGGATTTACCTCATGTTGAAGGGGGCCATCAGTCGAACCACGTACTGCCGGTCCTTGGGTAGCTTGAGTTTCGGGATCTTTGACGGGTCGAAGTCAGGTGGGTAGTATTTCTGCAGGGGAAGGGAGTGATGGGGTTTTCCAGTACTCAGGGCCCATGTGGACGGAAAGGGGGTCTGGGAGCCATGTCAGGGGACCCACCATATCCCAGTTTTAGGGATCTGCCCAGGATTCATTTTGCTTGTGCCTTCCCAGATATGGGTCATTTGAAGAACAGCCACGAGGAGAGAGGAACGTATAAGCTTCCAGAACCTTCTTTTCAGACAAATCACAGGGTGTGTGCATGTTGCTCTCCAGAGCTGTGACATGCCTTGCAGGGAAGGTTCTAGAGGCTCATGATTTGCAGTGGGGGTGGACCCCTTCTGCCCAGCACATAGGACTCTAGATGCTCATGAGATAACGGGGACCCAATATAAATCAGGCATTGCCGATGATGGTCTAGTTTGGACTAGGGAACCACACCGGCTCTCGGACACCATCTCGGTAAAACCTGATCAGTGAATTCTTCTCTGTGTACTTGGGAGGCTGGGGTGAGACACACAGGCACAGCCACTCTGAGTTATCAAGAGCATGCTAATGCCCACACCTGCCATCCCAGCACCTGCCAGTGGGAGACGGGGGTGGAGAATGACAAACTCCCCTGTAAAAAAGAGGCCGGGCGGCGGTGGTGGCGCACGCCTTTAATTCCAGCACTCAGGAGGCAGAGGCAGGTGGGTTTGAGGCCAGCCAGGTCTACAGAGTAGAGTTCCAGGTCAGCTAGGGCTGTTGCACAGAGAAACTCTGTCTCAAAAAACCAAAAGTCCAAAACTGTGTGAACCACCAGCAAGGAGGCACTCTGCTTTGGACACCAGACCTGCTGGCAGCCAGGCCCATGGGGGAGGGAGTTGTCTCCCTTGCTTGAAGGGAGCTTTGCCAAGAGTTCAGGAGGACTCGGGCCTGGTGGTAGTGTTTGCCAGTCATCCCTCATCCCAGGCCAGTCAGGCTAGGCGCTGCACGCACGCCCGTAGTGCACACACAGACATGTAGGCAAAAAATAAAATAAAAATACATCTTTTAAAAATTAATATAGCCCAGCGTAGGGGTACACGCCTCTAACCCCAGCAATCGGAAGGCTCAGGCAGGTGGGTTGAACCGGAGGCCACTCTGGGCTACAGAGTGAGGCCCTGACTCAAACACAAAACAAATTCCAGGAAATGGAAAGTAAAGGTTTTGAAGAGAGAAAACTTGAGTCCTTGTGTCTCAGCCACTGAAACTAGAGTAGAAAACGGGGCCAAGGGCTGTCTGATATTCGCTTAACAGAGACTGGGACGAACTGAGGCCACCAAGAGCACCAACCCTAACGGTCCGGAAAAAGCGACTGGATACTTTCCCGTGGAAAACCCATCGGATGAAGTGACCCAGGCTCCGCTCGCCTGGGGATGATTGACGTTTTCTAAACCGGAAGGGAAACATACGCTAACACCGCCCCTGAGAAATGCGATTGGCAAAGCTTGGGAGGCTCCGCCCCACGAAAAGCCGTTGGGGGGGGAATTCCTAAAGGAACTAGCCGGAAGGAAGTGAGCCTCTCCCTCAGTCCTCGGACGTCCCACTGGCGGCAGAGACATCTAGACTCCGAGCACTTACGTTTAGCACTTTCCGTTCCGACATATTCGCTTCCTGTTCGTCGAGCAAGCGAAGGAGCAGTGTTCTTCGGTCCCCTCGGAGTTTATTCGGCCAGGCGCCGCCGTTCTCTCGACGTCACTTCCTCGGCTGGCTTACTGACGTAGGTCATAGGTTTTAGCGTTCTCATTGGCTGTGGTACCTGTCGATCAAGGTTCCGTGTGCGCTTTTGTTCCTTTCCTGAGTGACTGTAGGTGAGGCAGTAAATAAAAGTTCCGGGAGCATCTGGCTCGCGTGTGTGCGTGTGCACCACGCTGGAAATAGTCAATAAAGTTTTGTTCCGCATCTCTGCTCTATTGATGATGTTTGTATTTGATTCTGGGTCTCACCGTGTAGCCCAGGCTGGTCAGGAACTCACAAGAGATTCCTGCCTCTGCCTCCCGAGTGCTGGGATTAAAGGCTGTGCTACCTCCCCACTCTTTTATTTCTTCCTTCCTTCCCTCCTTTCTTCTTTCCTTCCTCCCTCACTCCTTCCCTCCCTTCCTCTTTGCACAAGCCAGGCAGTCACTCTACCACTGAGTCACTTACTACCCAGCCTCTCCCTAAAATGTCCAGAGGGCCTTAAGTTTGCAACAGTCTTCCTGAAAGTCTCTTGAGTAGCTGGAAATCAGTGGCCTGCTTGATTTTTATTTATTTTTTTGCTGTTGTTGGTCTCTCTCTCTCTCTCTCTCTCTCTCTCTCTCTCTCTCTCTCTCTCTCTTTCTTTTGTGAGACAGACACTCACCAGGCTGTACTTGAAATCTCAGTATTCCAGCTGCCTCTGCCTACCGAGTGCTAGGGTTAAAGGCGTGATGGAGCATGCAGGATTAGACTGGCTTTTCCATTTGCTTAGTTATTATTTGTGCATACAAACGACGGCAAGCCCCCGCCATTGTGCCCGCCCCCAGCCCCTCACCTGGGGATCCTAGGCAGGGGCAGCCCCCTGAATCACGCCCCCAGCCCTTCTCCTTTTCCTCCTTAATCTTGGGCAGAGTCTCCAGGCTGACCTTTAGCTCCCCACCATTCTTTCCCTCTGTCCTCATTTCGACAAGGCCGGGCTGCCTCCTGTTTGGCTCTCAGTTGGGAAAACAAGTGCTATGGTGTGTTTGTCCTTTTTCAGCGCCGATGATAGGCCTTACACCTTGCTTTATCCGCTCCCTTTCTCTCACCTGCATGCTCCCCGACCCTTCCACCTTTACACATTGTACCACGTGGAATTTCTTCTGGGAACTAGCACAGTACTGTGTCCTCCAAGGCTCCTGAACCTTGAGCCACATCAGCTTCTTTTCGTCATGAAGCCCTTGTTTTGGGGTTGTAGACAAACGCAGACATTCACATTGCTCACTCAGAGGACAAGATGGACAAGCTGCTGGAGAGGAGGCTCAGTGCTCTGGCGCCCTCTTCTGACCGCCATAGGCACTGCCGTACTCCCCACATGCACATATTTAGAAATGAAATTAAAATACTTAAATTTTTAAAATGGACAATTTTAATAATTCTTGTCAGGCGGTTGTGGCGTACGTCTTTAACCTCAGCCCTCGGGAGGCTACACGAAGAAGTCCTGTCTTGAACTCCTCCATTCCTAATAATAATAATAATAATAATAATAATAATAATAATTTTGTTTCGTTTTGGGGTTTTTCGAGACAGGGTTTCTCTGTGTAGCCCTGGCTGTCCGGAACTTGCTCTATAGACCAGATTGGCCTCGAACTCATATTGATCCACCTGCCTCTGCCTTCCAAGTGCTTGGATTAAAGGCGTGCGCCACTATTGCCAGGCTAATAATTCTTATTTAATCAAAATATCTAATCAAATCACATTTACAGTTTACAAAGTACAGAACTGATGGAAGGAGGAATAACATTCCCACAGATTTGGAAATTGATGTCCGGAGAGGTCAAGTCAACGCGCCGAGGATCTCGGCACGTGCAAAGTCAGTACTTGAACCCAGACACTTTGAAGTAGACGACATTAGGGTCTGCTATCAAAGACCTAGTCCCTCTTCAAGGACTCTCTGCTTGCCCAGGGAGGCTCCAGTCACTTGGTTTCCCATAGTCCGTGAGATCCTGGGCTGACACCTGGACACAGTACTTGGCGTGGGACTTCGCGGCCCTGAAGGTGAAGGTCGTGGCTTCAATGGGTCCCACCTGCGGGGAGAGAGGACTAGGCGGTGGGTAGGACCGCGCTGTACTGGGAGCTGGGGTAAACCTGGGTAAAGTGCTGGCGGTGAGTTCGAAACCCCAGAACTCATGTAAACCAGCTGCAGAGTCACGTGATCTCAGCGCTCCAGGCGGGAGGTGGAGACCGGAGGATGTCCAGGGGAACCCTGTCTCACCCTCTCCCAAACCCCCTCTCACCTGGCGGAAGTGAGAGGCGCCGTGGCGCCGGTAGCGGATGCGGTACTTGAGAGAGAAGATGTTCGGGAAGGGCCAGGAGGCAGGGGGATGCCAGAGCACCTGCAGCAGCTGCCCCGCTTGGCGCAGACGCACGCCTTCCGGGGGGTCGGGCTTAACTGCGGGGAGCAGGGGGGCGGGGTCAGAAGCGGCTCCACTGGTTTCCTCCTTCATTCATTCACACGCTGATTCGCTCCTTTAGAGTCCATTCATCCCATCAGTTCGTTCCTTCACTTGTTCATTCAGACCTTCACTAATTCCTTAGCTTGCTTAGCCACCTGCTCACTCACACTCACTTATTGCTTGGTTCACGTGCAGATGTATTCATTGATTCATTAACTCGTCCACTGTCATTCATTCACTGAATCCATTAGTTTCTTCACTTATCCATTTGTACATCCATTCATGCTTTGATTAGACCATTAGGTCATTCAGGTATTCGTTTCCTCACTCTTTAAGTCCTTCCCTCATTCACTGCATCATTCACGCGTTCATTCATTCCCTCATTCATTAAGTCATCTGTTCACTAGTCATGCATTCATTCACCCATCTTCGCAAGGAGCAAGCATTTGTTGAATCACCATTGCCCCTGCTGACAGAAGTCATGACAGACAGAGAGTTTCAGAGTGTAAGTCCTAAGTGGGCTGAAGGGCTTTCCCCGAGACAACGTTCTCACAGGACTGAGCTGGAGGACATCGGAGAGTGTTACCATTTCTCTGCCTGCCTCCCGAACGCTGCTTCATGCCAACACAAGCTCTACACCCATAAGCCATCTCCCTACAGCACCCACAGCTATTCTGTCTCTGGATCCCCCTGTTCCGGAGCCCACGCTGTGTGGTTTGTGTCTGGGTTGCTCACTGAGCCCTCAAGGTCCCTCCTCACTGTAGTTGGCGCCAGAGCCTCATTCTCCAGGGCTGAGTGGTGTTCCTTTGTGTAGATGGATATTGTGTGTCTGTCTATCTATCCATCCATCCATCCATCCATCCATCCATCCATCCATCCATTTATAGGAGGACACGTGGCATGGGCTGCCCCCTTCTGGATGTCGTGCATAAGGTTGTCAAGGATTTGTAGGGGTGAACATTTTTATTTTTGTTGAACAGATATCTGGGAGTAGAGACTCCATGTTTAATCCTTTGAGGGCAGAGTAGCCTTTCACCGACCTACACCGAAACAGACAGGGTTTCTCAGTAGCTATGGAGCCAGTCCTGGAACTCACTCTGTAGACTGGGTTGGTCTCCAACTCATAGAGATCCGCCTGTCTCTGCCTCTTGAGTGCTGGAATTTAAGGCATGGCCACCACTGCCCAGCCTGCCTGCCTGCCTGCCTGCCTGCCTGCCTGCCTGCCTTCCTTCCTTCCTTCCTTCCTTCCTCCCTCCCTCCCTCCCTCCCTCCCTCCCTCCCTCCCTCCCTCCTTCCTTCCTTCCTTCCTTCCTTCCTTNTACCAGCTATGAATGAGGAAGGGTTCCATAGTTCTGTCTGTTGATGATAGATCTAGGATGGTTTTTTTTTTTTTTTTTTTTTGTTAGTATCAGGGTCTTGGGTTCTTGACTCCAATTTACCCTGTACTCTCAGAGATCGGCCTACCTCTGGGATTAAAGCCCTGTATACCACATCGGCTTTCGTCTTCTCTTAACTGCAATTGTCACTTATGTTTAGTAATATACTTTTGGGGGGCCTCACCGAGAAGCTGACACCCAAGCAGTGACCTAAGAAGGCCAAGCAACGAAGCTATGCAAACGCTTCGGATAGGAGAGTTTGGGGTGTTGGGGAGGCAACAGAGAGTCAGTGAGGCTGGAGTAGAGAAGGAAGAAGGCTGCAGGTACCTGGCAGGACGTGGGGGCGGCGGCGGGGGTGGCGGGTGGCGCATGGTGGAGGGCGGGGACTGAGAGAGGCGGGAAGGACAGACACTCACTGATCCGCTCAGCCACGAAGGCCAGAAGGCTGCTGCTGGCACCGCTGGGATGAAGCGCAGTGACATTTAACACGTAGGGCACCGTGGAGAACAGGTGCACGTGGGGGATGGTGCAGCACGTAGCCTCGGGGGTGGACTGTAGGCAGGGCTGGCTTTGCTGCTGGGTGGCCACACCGAGCCTGCGTGGGAAGCACCGTGGGGAGTCGCAAAGGGCATTTAGGTGTCCGCGGGGTCCCAGTCCACGTACAGCAGACCGTGGGACCCAGACACGGTCAGGGGGACACCGAGTTCTGAAGAACTCCCCAGATTACCCACATCCCACACTTGTTCTGTTGTTTTGGAGACAGGTTCCCATGGGTCCCAGGCTGCCTCCAACCCCGAGTGGAGTGGAATATTGGAATCTGTTCCCCTTCGTCGTCCTGGCCCCTCTCCATTCTCTGACCTGTAAGTGGCGATGAAGGACGTGGGTCTGGTGGAGTTGGGAGCCCGCAACGGCGTCCAGGAACAGTCCACGGCCACAGGGTACCGAGAGGCGTGGCATCGCACCATGGGCTGGCTCAGAGCAGCTAGGGCGGAAGAGACAGGAACGTGAGCTTCCAGGAGCCTCGCAGGTCCAGGAGCTCGCATGTGTGAAAGCAGGAGCTCCCACATCTACTACAAACCCCCAGGGCCTCAACAGAGCCCATTTTCTAGATGAGAAAACTGAGTTTCCTCCTCCCCTCCCTCCCTCTCTGTCTCTGTTTTCCTTCCTTCCTTTCTTCCTTTTTTTTTTTTTTTTTTAAAGGCGGGTCTCGTGCAGCTTTAGGCTGGCCTCGAACTCACTAGTAACTGCAAATGACCTTGAACTCGGCTGCTTCCCGCCTCAGCCTCGTGAGTGCCCTGCGCCAGGTGTGTACTATCGTGCCCAGCATCTCTGAGAGTTTCAGACCCACACTTGAGTCACAAAGGTGAAACTTGAGGGTTGCTGAGAGTTAATGATCTCCCCAAACCTCTAAGCTCAAGGGTACCTCTGCCTGGGTAAACAAGGCTTTGCCTTTCTGAGCCTCAGTTTCCCCATCCCTATAGCGGAATGGGAACAGGTCCCACTGGATAGGTAGGTGTGAGTTCCTACACGATTCCAGATGTAACCTAAGACTGAAAGCGACCAGGTGCCCTAGTCCCCAGTGTGACCACCTACCTGTCCCTGCACTGCCAGGGGAGCAGCTAGCCCAGAGGGCAAGTGACAGGAGGAGCCGCCGGGACATGCCTGTGTGGTTCTATTCTCCAGAGTCGCCGGGGAAGGGACAAAGGATCGTTCCTGTCCTGGAAGCCTTGTCCTGGTGAGGATCTGCCCAGCGCAGCTCAGTCGCCCAGTGTGTGGAGCGGAGCAGGACACTGCGGTGATGGTGACAGTCCAGATTCTGTCACCAACTGCCCCAAGTGTGAGTGTGAAAGGCCTTGAGGTGGGGGCAGGGAGAGGGCCCCAAAAGGGAGAAGTCACTGGGTGGCCTTACTTCCTGCTGATGGGGAAGCCCGGGGAAGGTGGGTGAGGGAGAGGGCAGATGCGTATGTGCTGGTAGCGGAGGGGAGCGGGAGAAACACAGAGAAACAGAGACTAAGAGGCAAGGAGAGAGGCAGAGAAAGAGGGACCGAAAGAGACAGGGGACACTGGCCCAGAGATTGGTCCCAGTGCAGGGTGGTGGCCCTCTTACCAGCTACATCTTCCCAAAACTGTGTCAGGTCCCAGACAATAGGGAGCAGCTGCTACCCCCAGGTAGTCCCTAGCCCCAGGAACATTCTGAAGTGTTCAGGACACCCAAGGAAACCCCCAGGACAAGCTGGTGTCCCCGGGAATTCCAGGCCACACCCCCATCTTCAGCACCAAGAGAACCCAGAGTCTCTGGGGGATTCAGGGGATTTGCCCAGAAATGGGGAGAAACAGGAGCAGGGGCCTTGCTGGAAAGTGATGAAGAAAAATGGAAATTAAGGCATGACTGTTGCCACCCATCATTCCCAGCTCGTGGGGAGCTGAGACAGGGGGATATCTGTGATTTTAACTCTAGCCTAAGGTACACAGGGAGACCTCCACCTTAAAATGAAAAAAGATTAGGGCATAGGGTTCTGAATTCAATTCACACAGATACAGACACACACACCACCACCACCACTACCTCAACAACAAAACAAAGCAAAACAAAATAAAATTAAAACCCACCAAGATGAACAAAGTACTGAAAAGATGGAGAACAGGAGAATCCAGCCTGGGCTTTCTTATTCACTATTTATTTATTTATTTATTTATTTATTTATTTATTTTGAGACAGTTTGAGACACTGTAGCTTTGGAGCCTGGCTTTTTGGCTTTTTAAATTCTTTCTTTCTTTCTTTCTTTCTTTCTTTCTTTCTTTCTTTCTTTCTTTCTTTCTTTCTTTCTTTCTTTCTTGACAAGGTTTCTCTGTAGCTTTGGAGCCTGTCCTGGAACTCACTCTGTAGTGGTCTTGAATAGTGTAGTGGCTGGCCTTGAATTCACAGAGATCCACCTGCCTTTTCGCTTCCTGAGGCGTGGGCCACCACCGCTCAGCCCAAGTTATTTATGTTTTTAATGTGAGATCTTGGGGATGAATCAGATAGGAAAGGTTGTAGCTTAATAGTGATGTATTTGTGTCAAGTTGACAGGGGGTCAGTTGAACTGGATGGCTTTGTATGTCAACTTGACACAAGCTAAAGTCATCATAGAGGAAGGTGCTTCAGTTGAGGAAATGCCTCCTTGAGATCCAGCTGTAAGACATTTTCTCAATTAGTGATCAATGGGGGAGGGTCCAATCCACTGAATGATGCCATCCTTGGGCTGTCTGTAAGAAAGCAGGTTGAGGAGCTGGAGAGATGGCTCAGTGGTTAAGAGCATTGTCGTCTCTTCCAAAGGTCCTGAGTTCAATTCCCAGCAACCACATGGTGGCTCACAACCATCTGTAATTAGGTCTGGTGCCCTCTTCTGGCCTGAAGGAATACACACAGACAGAATATTGCATACATAATAAATAAATAAAAAGAAGAGTGGTTCTCTAAGGAACACATTCCTGTTTAAAAAATATATATAAAAAGCAGGTTGAGCAAACCATGGGAGTAAGCAGCACCCTCCATGGCCTCTGCATTAGCTCTTGCCTCCAGGTTCCTGCCCTGTGTGAGTTCCTGGTTCCTGTGTAATGATCTGTCCTGTCCCTTTAAGAGACAAGCCCCTCTCCCCTCCATCAGCCAAGGCAAGGCAAGCTTATCTTCAGCTTCCAGACTGAGTCCCTTCCTTTTCTGTCTCTCCCCCATTTCCCCTACATTCTTCTCATTTCTCCCCTTGCCCCCTCTGTCTTTCTGTCTCTCTCTGTCTCTGTCTCTGTCTCTCTCTGTTTCTTTGCCCTCTCTCTGCTCTTCTCCCTTTTCCCTTTCCCTTTCTTTCCATAACCCATTAAGTAAATATCCATCCTCACTCTGCATGGCATGCTAATCCATGTCTTTGTCTCTCGTCCACCCCGTGGCTCCTGCTGGGGCCAGCCACCTTTGGAGACCTGTGGTGTGGTCTCATGCATGCCCGTCTGTCTCTCCTCATGAGACTGGCTGCCCCATTGAGGTTTTTCACCCACCATGTGGCCTCCTGCCTGGGACTTGTGGCCCACTGCAGCCACTTGGGGAACTATGCCATCCCTGCCTGGGACTGGCTGCTCTTGGGACCAGCTGTTCGCTGCCTGCCTCCACCAGGGATCTGCAGCATTTTTGTTTAATCCATTACATCCTGTCCACTGATGGAAAATGATCTGGAAGTGTAAGTTAAATAAACCCTTTTCTCCCCAAGTTGCTTTTTGGTTGGTGTTTTGTTGCAGCAATAGAAACCTTGATTAAGACAGTAAAGTCCCAAGCTGGGCCCCTAGTTCATTACCCTGGAACCTGGGGAAGGTTGTCCCAGGGGCATCAGCTTGCAGAAGTGAGGGATGGAGATTGAATTGCTGAGCAGTGTCCTCAGCAACCCTGAGCTGCATCTGCGGGATCTGACTGAGAATGTCATGTGTGTCCTTGTTCCTGCAGTGAGTTGGTAGGGGACACAGGCAGAGTTGAGAGAACCAGAGAAGAAAGAGAAGTGAGGAGGGAGGAAGAGAGGGACACGCCCATGGCCAGCCAGCCACTGAGGAAGCAGTGAAAGTGGGACATACAGGATGAAAGAAGGGTAAAAAGTCCTGACAAGTTAAATTAATTATAAGAGCTAGTAGGACAAACATAATATAAGGCCGAGCATTCAGAACTAATAATAAGTCTCTATGTTATGATTTGGGAGCTGGTTGGTGGTTCAAAAGAAAGCCTGCTACACCTCTGTGCCCCCAACATCCAGTCGTTCTATAATCAGCATTTTCCAAGTTCAGGTTCAAATGAGTAGTCCTGGGAAAATAGATCATGTGATCTAGAAATCATATCGTACGCCAGACTGAACATGCCATTCAAGTGTTAGTGTGGAGAAACTTCAGTGGGCTGGGTGGTGGTGGCACACACCTTTAATCCTAGCACTCTAGAGGCAGAGGCAGGTGGATCTCTGAGTTGGAGTCCAGCCTGGTCTACAGAGTGAGTTCCAGGACAGCCGGGACTACACAGAGAAACCCTGTCTTGAAAAACCAAACCAAACCCAAACCCCCCAAAAAAAACAACAACAAAAATCTTCAGTGGAAGACCTGAAAGCAGGACATAGGATACAACTCTTCCACAAAAGCAATGTTCCATTTTCATATATTTTTGTTTGTTGAGGTTGGAGGTGTGCCTTTTGGGAGTCAGTTCAATCCAAGGCCTTTTCTGAGGCCCCTGATAAAAGTGCCCAAGAGAACACTAGTTCTGTATGTTGGCCAAAGTCTGTTCTGGTATTTGAGCCACTGTCTGGAAGGGATTGAGGGGACCAGACTCTAGCCTGAGGGGCTGTGGTTGTAGTCTCAAGACTACCATGTGTTCAGCCTGAGGTAAGCTGTGGTCTTCTTGCCAGCATTGCTGAATTAGTTTCTGCTGACTCTGGTTGATTCCCTACTGCAGAAAGTGTACCAGAATTGTATTTAATAAACTTGCTTGGCATGAGCCATCAGCTTACGCAGTATCTACCACTCCATAACTTTCTATCTTTATCTTCTTATCACAGGTCGTCACTCTGGACATCTCCCCTTTGGGGTCCCTAATTTGTGTTTTAGGTTATAGACCAAGCTGACTTAACCTTTCCATGTCCTGTCTCCACCTCCCAAATGCCAGCATGATGGGCCAGTGCCACCACAGAAAACTGGGAAATTGTGTTTTAGATAGCAGTGTGCAGCCGAGAGAGGTGTGAGTCCCCAACTTAATAAGCACTCCTAGGTGTGCATTATTAAAATTGCTGGTGCCCGGTGAACATCAATAAGGTGGTTTGTATTTGACCTGGGTGGACTGGAAGCTCTTTTAGCTGTGAGGCAGGGGGATCGCTCCACAGCACACTGTTTAGTGATCTTCATATGCTAGAGACCCTGTGCACAGATAGAGAATTGCCTACTGAGTGCAGGAAACGTTTAGGGACGACTATGCTGTTCAGGTGCAAGTTCTGATACAATGCCAGTTCTCTGCCGGCCTGGGACAGTTGGGAACGACAGTGAGGCGTCTCTTCACGGCACGCTGTCGCTAAGGGAGATCCTTGTCACTCAGGAATGACGGCCTCTAGATGGACTGCAAATCAGAATGGGGGCGAGTACTTCCGGTCCGCCATGCTTTAGGCTTCGGCGGTTCCAGTGGCTCCAGGGCTGAGGGTGATTCTAGTGTTCCGTATGTTGCGCTGTGACTCGGCCATGGTGAGTAAAAGGCGCCGCCCCCACGCGGGGAGAATCTGTGGGAACCGGTGTGGTGTCCTCCCAGAGCTGTAGGAAACGGCCGCCAAACACAGTGAGGTCACACTCGGGCTATGCCACTTCCGGGAGCTAGGCGGGGAATCAGCGGACACCCTAATCACGTGGCTTCCTGGGATGCGCCTGCGCAGAGCATGGGAAGCACGAACCCTTCCGCCTTGCTCGCGGTTTGTTGCAGGGCGCAGGCATGTGCTGTTTTTACTGTCACCAGGGAAGGCAAATTTGTTCTCATAGCCCTGCTTCCTCTAGCGTCTTCTAGAAGTTCTGCACTTGGCACTGAACATTCAGGTGTAGGATCCGTCTGCAGTTAGTTCTGTGCAGGGCGTAAAGTCTGTGTCACGAACACATTTGCGTGGAGAGGCCAGGGTGGACTAGTCACCTGTGTTAGTAAGGCCTCATGTGTCAAATTGTGTTCCCATTTCTAACTTTGCTTTCATGTTCTGTTCATCTCTTTATTATTTTCCAGTCAGTACAATCTTTATTGCAGTTGTATGCTAAGTTTTGAAGTCAGATGGTGTCACCGTGTGTGCTGTATAATCAGTGAGACAGTTTGGACTGTCCTGGAACTCACTCTGTAGACCAGGCTGCCAGTGACCTCACAGAGGTTCATCTACCTGTGCCTCTACCTGTGCCGAGTGCAGCGATCACAGGTGTGCTCCACCACTGCCCGGCAAGCAGCGCACACTTCTAAAACTACCCACTGGAGTCACAGAGTTGGCTGTCCATTGGACTAATAGGAAAAGGGTTCGTGTGGAACACAGCTTCTCCACTGAGACCAACATAGAAGGAATAGTTTATTGTGTACACCACAGGGGAAAATAGGCTAGGCCATAGCTAGACTGGAGGTTGCTTAAGTCAATGAGCTGCAGGTGTCTCTGTTATAAAGCAGGATCTGATTGTGCAGGGGAGTGTCTTTCTGTTTACTTTACCAGTTCGTTACTTCATGGAAAACCAAATCTGTGGGTGCACAATTTGGGGAGGTTACCTTGAGCCACCTTCATTTCTGATTGGGCAACTCCCTCATGTTGGTCCGTAGAGACCTGGTTGTCTCAGTTTAGTCAGGTGACAGGATTGAGACACCGAGCATTCGGCTGTGGCGTGTGTGCGAGCCTGCAGGACTCAGCAGCTAACATTTTACACAGGGTCATACAGTCTCTTACACACGTGGACGTGAGTTCTGTGCAGGATGATGAGGATAGATCTATTTGTATTCTTCTACATTCACACATCCATTTTGACCAGCACCATTTGTTGAAGATGCTGTTTTTTTCTCCAGTGTGTATTTTTGGCTTCTTTATAATAATCCAGATGTTCATAGGAGTGTGGATTCATGTCTGGG